TGGGCGCACGCAACGCAGGCAGGCGAGACGGCCGCCTCCGCCTCCGCCTCCGCCCCCACTCCCGCCGCCGTCGCTGCCGCTCCCGCCCATGCCCCCCCCCCCGTGTGAGACTCCGCACGTCGTTTCCTCCCCAGAGCATCGTCGCTGGTTGTTGCGGCTAACAACTTTGTCAAGATTTTTTTTTATATTCTAATATTTGCCTCGTAAAGTTTCGGAAGGTAAACATTGATATTTTCGCCTCTGTTCGCCAAATACTTTAACTATAACTTAGGCATAAGTCTTATGTAAATATATTGCACACATTTTGTAGCAGAACGAAGGTGAACCTTGAGTTTTGAAAAATTCAACAAAAATGTATGTTATAATTAGGAATAGGAACCCAATTATCAGTAGACCAAACAATTCTTTATCGTAAACAGATGCCAAAATACCTGTCATTCTTCGGTTTAAATTTCTTTTAAAGAATGAAGCTAATTGGATCTCATTTCATTGTTTGACTCCTTGAAGAAAGGATATGCAACTGTCACCGCACGTTGAGTTATCAGCGGCTAACACAAATGCCACTCAATTTCATAGTTCGGTTTTTGTAAAGATTACTTGCATATTTCACGAATTTGAAATGAAGTATATGAAGTAAATGAAGTATGAAAATATTATTCAAGATCAAATGGCTCGCTCTGAGACCAAAAAAATATTATGTGAAGAATATAATTTCATGAAGTATTTTCAAAATATATCCTCATTAAATACAAAAAAAAATTACGATGTTACAACATGCGTATTTCTCAGGAAGAAAGATAAAAAACAAAGCAAAAAAAGGGATACGTCACATCAGGTGAGACTTACATTGTAGGCAACTGTACACAGACATTAGTGTATTCATTAGTCTAGTTTTTAATGCAAATATTTTTTTCAAATCATATAAGTGAAATATATTCCATAAATGTTATTATCAATCATAATATTCATGCGAATATACATAATTATTGCCCAAGAAAATACATAGTATTAGCCTAATATTCTTCTTTGAAAGTCGTGTCTGCCATAACGAATTCTTGTAAGTATTGGAGATAGCAGCGCTTGGTAAGACAAGTAACTGTTAAACGAACGGTCGCGCAGCTAGAATTCGCTGGAAAATCTGGTTCCGGCTACTGTTATACTCCTATTTAAACATTGTTCGAATTGTCGTTTGATCAGATGGGACGCATTTACCCATTTAAAAGCTTCGTTTCGTCTTGTTTTGTTTTAATTGAATCTTCCGACTGGAAAACAGTGTTAGAACTGATCAAACGTCAGTTCAGCCTATATTTAAATCGGACAATACGGTCTTGCGTCTTTCATAAGTCTGGCTGAGTTCTCTATCTAAAAGGTTTATGTAGTACAAGAAGGATATTTATTCAGTGAAAACGATAAACTTAGCGAGACATCCCATTATAATAATTAAAATATAATATTTGTTTTTAATATTTTTTCATAAGTATGAAACCGTATTGAAAGACGTATTAAATTATTTTGAACACATGTAAAGGCATAAACAGGAAGGTTTTGCCCCACCCGAACTCCGACGTGATATCTATTGTATTACAACACTGAAGTCCGTATTACTCTAAATTGTTATATCTGTATTCAGAATAATTTTAAATAGTGATATCACTTTCGGCAAATCCTAACTGGTCGGCATACTTTGTTCCTACGCCCCTCAGATCACAAGTTTGACCGCACACACGTTCAATATCCAAACTGCAGAGTGAACGACCATGACATTTAATATTAACGGGATCTACGGCAAGTTCTTGTTTAAGATTTTTCTTGAGCAAGCTTGTTTAAGCTCGATTTATTCAAATCGAGTCATTTCAACCATCATGTTTCATGAAAATGGACCTCATATTGACATGGTCCAGCTGCTATATGTTTCGCCTTACAATTCGTTTACAATCGTTTCGCTTTACAATTTCGTTCAAGGACAGACTCAAAACAAAGATTCAAGTCATATTATCTCTAATGTTTTCCATTTGTAAATTATTTTATATGAAATTAGAATATTTTTTTTGGTATTTTTCCTAATTAGAACACACTACTTTATGGCATGCTTCCAGAATGAGCATACTATTTTCTCAAAGCTAATAATTAGTAAGCAAACACAATAATTGAAAAATCATTAATCTAGTAGTTCAGTATTCACGGTTTCATCCTCATTCACCAAATATTCAAAGTTCAAAAATAAAATGCGAAGACATCGTTTAATCAATTATAAATTATGGTCTAATCATTTATCTGGCTAACTTAATTCTTTTCTAATGCGTTTTCAACATATCACGATTTTTTTGGCCTTGTAAATGGAAAAACAGTATCACAAAAACTGCAAGTTTTGTAGGTTAATATTATTTTAATTACATAATATTTATTAGATTAATGTGTTAACTTAATATTTGAATACCTTCTTTCTTCAAGCAAATATAAATGGCAATGAAATTAACACTAAAATAAAAAAAAATTATTTTACAAACTGCTGGAATAAATATATTTGTTTTTGGCAATTTATTCCTTAATATAATAAACGTTCGAATTTGAAATATTAATCGAAAACATTTGAAGAAAACTTTTGGATTAGTTATGTGTCAAATGGCTGTACAACTTGCTAACCTTGACCATGAAAGTATTTCAGCCTACACTGTTTATACGTCTCCCCAGTTTATCTGCGGCATTCCATTCCCCTAATTGAGAACATCAAAAACAGAATTTTGAATTTCATCGCCCTGAAATCTTGAAGATATTACAAATACGAAAGACAATTTTCCTATAGCATTTCGTTCCGCTAAGTAATTGATGTCCATGTTACCGTGTAACTTATCGATTCTCGGCCGAGGTGTCCAATTTATTTAAAAATAAAACTTACGATATCACACAATAGAGTACAACTATCTTCTGTTTTAGGTTCAATGATAGTTCAATGATTATTAGTTTAGTATTCACCACAGATGTTAAATTTTGTTGGAATTGATTCATCTCCAGAATAAATCGTAAGGATTCACGTTTCATCTTTCTCTGATTGCACTTTAAGTTGAGATATAATCTACGCATTATATATTTTTAAGTAAAATAGCAATCTGAAATTAAACTTAGAATCTTATTTCACTTTTGCCAATGAATTGGCTAAACACAACAATTTTCATGTTGAAATTAATTATGGAAAATCAACGATACATTACGATTATCCGAGATTGTAATAGAATGATATCTGATATAATAAATAAGTGATAAGATATAACAGCACTTGCATGGTCTGTTACCTTTCAGTATCAAAATGTGAAAATACCTACTAATGCTAAACTGAAACACGTCACTGATGATTCTGAAAACGCAACTGTAGTTTCAGCCGACTGCAACGCTTTGGTTGGCTACAGTAATTGGATTTAAGTAAATAAATAATAAATTTAAAAAATTAAAAATCATCAAAAAATCGCGACATTTATGGATTCATGGATGGAGCGACATGAGCCAGATCGATTGAGGAATATCTAAGTTGCTGTGAAACTAGCTAACGGTTTAGTTGCTATCTTTGTTGACAGATGCACAGACGTTTTGCTGTGAATCTATTTTTGGGGTATCAATGACTCACACTACATGGATTGCGGCAACACATGGTATTAGATGAAGTAATTTTACAAGTAATATATACATATATACAAGAATGAGCCACTTTTCGGTACAAGAGACATACAATACGATTTTTTCTGTAGAAAAATTCCCGTTTTGGGCATTACAACTTTTTCTATACTACGTAAGTGGTTTCGAAAGAGTAAAAATCAAATCAACAATTAAATAGTAGTAATTTTCATTTTAAGAAGCCTTTGTGTACTATTGTCTAAAGTTTGCTAAGAGTGTAAGACATGATAAATGCTTCTGATGCGTGTGTTTTAATTTTCACGCGATTTTAAACATTTCACTCATTCGCCTGCGGAGAATGACTCCTGAGATTCCCCTTCGAATCATCCGCGTGTGTGAATGTGAGCTGACGTGTGGGGAAAGAGGGCCGCGCGCGTCAAGTGTGTGTGAGGGGGGGATCGAGAGAGGCGCCAAAATGGAGGTTGGCAGACACGCGATCTGCGCCGAGTAACCGGCTCCACCTCTGGAGCCGTAGCCGGTTCTCTGCCCCGCGGGTGCTCGCAACGGACGCCTCCGCCTCCGCCACCGTCTCCGCCTCCAGTCCCGTCCCGTCCCGTCGCCTGGTTGCGACCAACCGCCATCGCCCAAGACCGGAGATCGAAGCAGGACATCGAACCGAAAAAGCTCCGTCCAGGATGGCGGATCAGACTTTACTTCAAATCGCTAGGTTCAATAAGGATTTGCTACCCGGGAAAGATACTTATTAATCGAATTGCTTTCCCCGTAATGATTGTTCAAATATCCTTAATTAGTAGATTAAGTTAGTAAGTTATAAATTTAGAATTTGTGAATTAGTGGATAAAGTTAGTAAGTTATAAATTGAGAACATAGCTGCACGACAGTCGATCGATTAAATCTAAGTACACTACTTTATGGATAGTATTTCAACTACATGTTTGAAATATATCTTGAAATATTAAGCCTTTACGAACTACAGTTGATAAAAAAAATAGTGCGTAAACTCATGTGCAAAAACACTTATTTCTGACACAAACGATATAATTTAAAAAACGTTTCTTTAGGTTTGGATTCCGACACAGGGTTTGTTAGCAACCAGATTCGAAACAGGTAAACCAGCCACTCCCATATTGTTAATAAAGAAAGGACGCCTAATTTACACTTTACATTTTCTTAAATACAATAATATGACGAATGAATAATATGAAGTTGGAGTTTTCTTGTCAATCATTTTCTTATTCTTTCTTTTTGCTCCAACACTGCTCTGAAATAAGTCAATTCAGACGCTATTGAAGATCTCTCTTTCGCCAGATAGTTGAAGGTTCTTCCACGACCCCTGAAATTATCAAATCACTATAAAGAGTATATAAATTCGATTAACTAAAAATTCTCCTTTCTTGGTCCAGAAAATGATGCAGTTTGATCCTTTCTTGCATAACAGCTCTATTTCCTTTTCCAAAGGCAGGATGGACCAAAGATTCTTCCAGCATTCGCCATTCACTTCTCCGGTAATTAGGTGTCACCAACGCATTTACTTTGACTACTTTTATTCTATTGAAAATAAATAATCTATTGAGAACCCATATGTTCGCACCATAATTCCTCCAATGTGTTCATAAAACGGAACGAAGTAAGAATAATACTACTAGTAGATTAAGGATTTAAGAAACTTAAAAGTTATTCACAATAATATTCCTTTCTTTGACGTTCTATCAGTACATTGATTTTATATCGCAGTACTGTTGCAGATTTTTCCTAAAATTGAGAAATTTCTTTAATTGTCATATTGATTCACATTTTTCCCTATCAATTAAGTAATTAAAATCTATCGATTAAAAACGAGATATAAGACAAAATGAAATATCAGAAGTTTTCTAACGTTTCGATTGGATTACAACGCGATTCTAGCACATATTTTTTCATACTAGTTCGAAAACACATTCACAACGTTTTGATTCTAAATATTGGCAAGCATTTGTACAACTACAAGTAATGAAGAATAAAAATAATCCATTATTATGAAAAAAATTAGTAACAACTCTTTTGTAACAAAAATAACATTCTCATTAATGTTGGAAAACATTCAATGTGGGTTAATCGTCCTAAATTACCGCCATCTAACTTGTAAACTTTGTATAGAAAAATATACAAAACAATTTAATTAATATTATTTTCACATAGGTGAGCCATCGGTAATTTTTTTTTTTATTTTAAAGTAAACCTTTGGTTTGTACATTACATGACCATCCTCCGCGCGTCTGTTGTCGTCCGCCGGCCCAATGGCCACAGGAGATGTTTAATTTGGATTCGTTGTTCTTTCACTGGAAGCGACAGGGTCGTGAAGGCGAGCGGGCTTACAAGGGCTTCACGTCAGGCACCTTCCGAGCGCCCCGAGAACGATCGCGGCGGCGTCTTGGAGCCACCAGCGCGCTCCGCTTGGCCTCGGCCTCCACGGCGCTAGCCGCCCCGCCGCCGCCCTCGCCACCGCCCTCGCCACCGCCCTCGCCACCTCCAGCGCCGCGAATAATCTCGCGGAGGGTTCTCCGCACGCCGGAACCGGACGAGTGACTCCGTCCTGCGCGGCAGCGGCCGGGCCGACTCCGTCGCACGGCGCTCCGCTCTGTTCCGCACTTGTTGCAAACAAACGGCCCGCCTCACTCCCGAGCACTGCCGCCGGGCGGCCTGGCATTAACAGCTTCACTACTCTACTCGTCTCAGATTTCCGAACTGGCGTTTCGGCGTCGTATGCACCACACGGGTAGGTGCTCATGAGAAGCAACGCAGCCTGCAGATGGCGTCGCGACCGAGGGCCGGCGGCGAAATCTGCGACACGACCCCAGGTCCAACTCACCCTGTTGTTTGCCGGACGCTCGCCAAAGGCCGGTCTTTGCAGCCACCGGCGCCTCCACCGTCCACCGCCTCCGCCGCCGCCGGCACCGAGCAAGGCCGCAGCGCGCGGTGCGGCCGCTCCGCGCGGGCGCCCGCCAGGTACTCGGGCGCACGGAGGCGGCGGCGGCGGTGGCGGCGGCGGGCAGGTAGTGGTGGCGGAGAGGGGCGCGCTCGCAACCGGTTCCTCCATGGCCGTGCGCGCGGCGGCCGATCGCCGCCGCCGCCTCGGCAACAGCCAGGCGACTGACAAAGAGCTCCACAATGCCTGCGACAGGGCGCGCTGCAAGCGGCCAAGCAGCGCGGGCCGGCCAAGCCGCACGCGCGAGCTCCGCCGCAGCCGCTGCGCACACCGCCGCTGCTGTCGAGGCGCGCAATGCTTTTATTGCACGGTGACCTTCTGCAGGCGCTTTTTGCAGCAGCGCGGCAACGGCGGCGGCGGCAGCAGCAACGGCTGCGGTGGCGGTTGCGGGGCGTGCAGCCCACGCCGCCCCCGGCGGCGCCACCGCCGCCAGGTCCTTGGCGTCGCCCCTGGCCTTGGGCTTCGATTGACCCTGGGATAGGCGCCATCCGCAGGTGTTACACATAGCTTCATTGGGTAGACGTAAACCAGTTCTACCGCGGGCGCTAGACGACGTCCGCCAGCGCCAGGGATAGAGCCCGCTCTCGGCGACGTGCTGGTTTTTTTCAGCTTCGCTCGGCGTCCACGCGTGCAGCCACCTAGCCGTGCGTTTGTCGTCCCTTCGAGCCTACGCTCGAGAGCCCGCGGCTCGAAAGGAGTGGCGAGCGGCGGCGGCAGCGGCGGGCAGCCACCCGCTCGCCGGCGCCGGTGACACCGTCAAGGTCAGCCGCAGCAACGTCGCCCCGCGCTGACTCCGCCCGCTCGGCCCTCCCGCGGCCGCCGCCGCCCGAGCAGAGCGCTGCGCTGATGCACTCTAGCGCGGCGTGGCGCTGCGCGGTGGTCGCTGCCGCTTGGCGCTGGCACGTGCCGAAATGAGACCGCGCACCGCTGCGCCGCCGCCCTTAGGAGCAGATGCCGCCGCCGCCGCCCCAGGTGCAAGGCAGGGCCTTGAAACACGAGACTGCACGGGGCGAGATTCGAAGCTAATGTTGCGAAGGGAATGCGCGGCCATGAAGGTCGCGCTCACCGCACTTCCAGTACAGAAAGGACATTTCGGGGACTGAATGCCCGACACGATGCCCGATTCGCGTCTTTTGCACCGTCGTCGAAATATGTTATTCTTGATTCTGTGTCCTTGGAATACAGCCAGTCTGTTTCGGAAACGTGTCGGCACGAGGCACACTCAGTGTTTTCTTAAGGACAAGGTTGGGCAATTCCCTTCAACATTTCAAATAATGTTCTATGAAATTTTTTGCTAATCGTGTAATTCTATAACAATACAACTACACACCAATTGAAGTTGAAATATTGATATTTTCACCCACCAAACGTAACTGCGATTTCTTCGTTTTCATTTTACAAACATTGCGTCGACGAGGAATTTCTTCTTTACATTAAATAAGCAATTTTTTCATAAAATATGTGCACTATACCACCCGAACATTGTCGTATACAAACGTGCAAATGTTAAGCTATCAGCTGCATACACTACACTTTATTGTGTGTATATATATAAAGAAAGAGTTGTTCGTGTAATTGTTAAATTTTCATCTTCAGCTATGTACAGTATAATATATATATATATATATATATATATATATATATATATATATATATATATATATATATATTATACTGTACAATCAATTTGTAGTATAATTTATAAAGCTGATAGCTGAAGATGAAAATTTAACAATTACACGAATAATTCCATAGTTTAAGATGACAATCAAACTATGAAACAACAATTCAATAATGATTCGTTTTAAAACTAAAAATTGAAAAAATTATATTTGGAAATATGACCAACATCTAACCTATAAATATTATATAATTGGAAGGAGATATTAATAGTAATCTTCTAGAGACGATAGAATAAGTATGTTTCACTAATGTTTGAGAGTAGGAATGAAAACGAGAGTTCTAATTCGAGAAGCAGCTTTTACAGCAAAAAGGTCCTTATAAACAACAAAATTAGCTAGATAAAATATCTGTGTTTGATTTTTATAACCAATTTTTTTCTAACAAATTCACATGTCATAGTCACATACTTTAAAAGAAACTTAAGCAAACACTGCAAATGTACAGATCATTCCTACTAAACATTACCCACTGAAGAAAAAAAACTATTTGTGCTAGGAAATCGATGTAAATCTCACGGCCTTATCAAGAATGCACTACATCATTTTTAATTTTTGAAAACCATCGTAATTGTGCATTATTCAAAATAGATTTGATGATGTTAAAAATTGTTCCAAAAATGAATACAAATTTATGTTTGGCAAATGCATGTGTCTTGGTAACCCTGGGTCTCAATCAGTAAATCTTCTGAAAATATCACAACAGGTGACATCATAACATTTCATAACGTACGGTAATACACATGTGAAAACAAAGCACTTCAGATAATCAGCGACTCTTTCAAGTCTATGAGACGTTTCTGTAAACCATAGCATGTTTGTGCATTCCTTGCCACAAGTAGTTGTCATAAAGAAAGGATCTATCGAATTTTCAGTCGAAATCTTATTTTACGGTTCATAGAACTGAATAGTATGTTCTGGTTTGGCATTTCAAATGTCAATATTTTTTAGAAATTCGATTGCCCAACACCGAGTGACTAATGTCTGTGTGCTTCTTGCGAGTTTTGTTGAGTACATTCGGTCACCTGAGTTTCGGGAAGCGCAGAATTGAAATAAGAATAATAGTATTTTTCATACAATTTTAAGATTATCAGATCTTCTTCCCATTCATTCACTCTAGTTTACATTTAGAAGTACTCGCCTAAACACTCTCGTGTATCTTCCCAACTTCGCGTGTCACTTACTACTCAGTCCTTCTACAAACGCTTCTACTGTGACGTCATGGATACTCACAGCGACCACAGACACAGAGCTTTCATATAACAATATATTTATTA